ATGTTTTGTTACAGTTCGCTAAATAGTTGAAAATATTTCAAGCTAAATTTGAATCGAGTTGCAGAGCTGAAGACACCAGTTTGGATTCATGCCTATAATCCCAGCACTTGGGAGACAGAGAGGGTAGGGCTGCAAGTTTGAGGCCATTCTGGTCTACATAGGCAGTTCCAGGACAGCTAGGGCTACACAGAGCTACCTCAAAACAAACACCCTACATAACCAACCCAGCTCAGTTTGAAAAATGCTTGCAAGATGGAAACAGAAGACGATGGGCTTAAAGACGTGCTGGGGAGATGACACAGTCAGGAAAATGTCTGCTAGACAGGCATGAGGAACAGAGTTCGGATCCCTAGCACCCCTGGGCAAGGTCCCTGTGGTGGTATACACCTGCAATCCCAGTGCTGGGAAGGTGGAGACTGGAGGGTCCCTGGGGCGTGTGGACAGCCAGCCTAGCCAACCTATGAGCTCTAGATTCGGTGAGAGGCAGCCCCCCCAAAAATAGACAGTGGAAAATGCCTGAACCCGACCTCCGGCATACACACAGATGCATCCTCCCAGTCCCTACACAGAAGTCTTAAAGGAATTCCCCCTGCCATCCATCCATCCATCCATCCATCTATCCATCCATCCATCCATCCATTCTTCCTTCCTTCCATCCATCCATCTACCTATCCATCTTTAGAAGTGCGTGAATGTGTGTGTGTGTGTGTGTGTTGCATGCCATGTGCATGCAGTTGGCAGCACAGACCAAAAGATGGCATCTTGTCCCCTGGAACTGAAATTACAGGCAGCTGTAAGTCACCCGATGTAGGTACTGGGAGGCAAACAAACATGGGTCCTCTGAAAGAGCAGCGAGTTCTTCTAACCGTTGAGTCATTTCTCCAGCCGCAAGGGTGCTGAAGAAACATCTCCGGTTCCCCATCTGAGGGCCTATATTAACCATTCAAGCGTCTTTATATCTGATGCCCCCAGGTTTACAATGAGATTAATTCACCTGCTGGGTATATCACTCAAAGTTGTTAGGAAAGTCAAGCATAGCAATATATAAGATGCTTTGTGCCAGGCAGTGGTGGCGCACGCCTTTAATTGCAGTACTCCGGAGGCAGAGGCACGTGGATCTGAGTTCGAGGCCAGCCTGGTCTACAGAGTGAGTTCCAGGACTACACAGAGAAACCTTGCCTTGAAAAAGCAAAAGGGAAACAAACAACAAAAAAGATGCTTGGTAAGCTCCAGAGGCCAGACAAGGTGAACAGGCCGGCTGTTGTTGCTTGCCATTAAGCAGCTCTCTCATGCCAGAAGCTCCTAGGCTCACAGAAGCAACAGGGCAAGTCCTTAGTACATTAAACAGTATTTACTGTGCCAGGCACAGAGAAAGAACAAAAGAACCATCATGGGCCACACGCAGAGGAGAAGATAAAACACAAAGGTGGACCCTTCCCCACTGGAGATGGTTTTCCCCTTTGATTCCTCTTTGGTCATGCAGAAGAGAAAATGAAGGAAAACAGCAGGGAGCCACAGATCTCAGGATTCTCAATCCTTACGATTTAGGCCTAAACCCCTAAGCAGGACAAATAGGCTGGAGGCTGGAGAGAAAATCCTTACTGCGGGAGAAAGCCATCATTCTTTGGATAAAATAACAACAAAAGAGTCCAACTGAGACAAATGGGATAGTCACCAGACATAGTGGGGATTTAACCCTACATCAAATCAGGTGAAATTAGAGTTGAGATGTCATTCCTGGATTTGAAGATGTTCAAGGTTAATTCAATGTGTTCTCTTCAACAACTAAGCTAGGTAAGATTGTAGTATAACAACACTTCTTCTTTCTTCTCTCCAGATCCTCCCTATAGACTTCTTCTCACTTCCCTTCAAATTTATGGCCTCTTCTTTGATAATTGTCATTGCATTTGTACATATATATGTATATACATATTTATTTCTAAACACAAACTACTCACTCCGCATGATGCGTCTTGTATGTGCGTTTTCAGTGCTGACCATTTAGAACTGGACAGCCAATTAGTATGCTTCTCCCTGGGGAAGATCACTTCTCCCACTTCCAGGTTTGCTGGGCTGATTATAGTTCTTTGTGCAGGGAAGAGGCCGCATGAGCTTTTCCTGCCTGCTTGGGCGTGTTCAGCAATGTCATTCCTTGTTCAACTCCTATTTGGGCAGTTCCATTGGTGAGACTTTATGGATGCAGCTTCTGACGTTACTAGGAGACACAATCTCACAGCAAACTCCCTGACCTCTGGCCCTTACCGATCTTTTCACCCTCTTCCACAATGTTCCCCGAGCCTTAGGTGCAGAATGTTTTGTGGGTGCATCCCGTTGGGACTGCGCTCCGCAACTCTGCATTTTGATTGGTTCTGTTTTTCTAGTGTTCTCCATCTGTTACAAAGAGAAATTGCCTTTCCTCCTGTAAGGACTACACTTTTTTGTAGGTATAAGAACAAATGTTCATCGATTGTTTTTAGAGATTTATGCTGGCTTAATAAATTAGTGGTTGTAGATTTTCCTCCAATAGCCTTCAGTTAGCTAGGTTTCTGGCACCTGGTATAGCTTCCCTCTTATTGAGTACAAGCACAGAACTGTTGGTTACTACCAAGGTATGCATGCCACTAGTGCACTCTTAGGTTTGGTTCACGAGCATCATAGCTGGGTAGGACTGTTGGTTATCTCCCTCCTTTGGAAGCTTACATGGTACCTTCTGGTGCCATGGTACCTTCCTCAGGAAGGAAGCATTCAGGTCAGAACCAGGTCAGGAGTCTTATCTACAGAACACCAGGGATACTGGCCCCAAAGTAGGAGCTCATGCTCATGTCTGTCTGTGGAGGCTGGTACACTTTCAATAAAACTTTACAGAAAATTCTCTACCTTGACAAGTTACAAATCCTCTGCCACATTTTACAGTAAGCTGTATTCTGGAGTAAATGTTTATTCATTCATTTATCTCAACAAAGGGAAATGAAAAGGATTTAGGACTTATTACCAGTCAAGTGACAGCAGTGCTAGGATTTAGGTTTCTGGATTCAAATTGCGCCTGTGAATTATTAATTGACCTTGGACAAGAGACTTACCCTGTATGCCACATTCCCTTACCATAAAACAGGGAACATCTAAATCAGCCATGCTGTAGTAATTCAATGACCTATGCTAATTAGGCTCTCTGATAATTATTCTGCAATCAATAAATACCTGCTGGTACTATCTTAGAAGGAGAATGATAAGAGGAATACATACCTTGCAAGACAATCATGTGGAAATGTTAGAGATACCCTCCAAAGAAGTGTTCTAGGGAAAATACTGTAGGGAAAAAGTCCCTTTAATTCTAAAAATGTGAATAAGTATCTGATTAGATAATGAACTATTTACTTTTAATGCTATAAAAGTATCTGAAACTTACAAAATAACAAATGTGCTGGCATTCAAAGAAAGATCACCCATACAACAAGCAGAAGGCATTCAATGAAGAGTCCATTTCCATGGTCCCAAAGTTTGTTCCAAACATGGTCCAGCAACCAAAAGCAGAGGTCAACGTTTTGGAGACCACAGTTGGGTCATTTAGGGTCAAATACATATTAAATTTCTTTGTCCTAGTGCTAATTTCATAAGCAATTTGGAGAAATAAATTTACTTGTAATTTGCGATACTGAGTATTAATGAGTAGAAAGTAAATGGCAGGTTCAGAGAGTTCTAGAATGTTGATCAACTCACAAAAAACAAAATCAACCAACCAAACAAACAAAAAAAAAAACCAAAGCTAGTCTGTCTCCTCCTCTTCCTGGGTCTCACACATGTTAGACAACTGTGTACATTTTAGACACAGCCCTGGCCTCTATTCATATTTTCATCAAACGTTCACCATATTATTGGCTAGGCACAAGTGGGCTAGGCTGGAAGAGATACAAAGAGGGCTGATGGGGAGGTGATTTGTAGAGTCTATGAAGCATGCGCAAGCCCCTTGTTCACAACTAAAACTGAACCTTAGCTCTTAATCCTCTTGATCCTATGGCTGGCTTCTTAAACCCTCACACACACACACACACACACACACACTGTAGAACAGGTGACACTTGTGCATCTTTTATGTAACAAATACGAGTCTCTAGAATGTTCAAAGCCTTGCAAGGTGGTCAGGATGAAGGAATGGCATTGCCTCAGATCCTTTCTAAAAATGTTGTCCTGGATAAAAATAAGGACAGTTAGAAGAGCAAGAGGCCGGAGAGAAGCAGACTAGTGCTGACACACCTCTCGGGAGGCTCCGGACTGGTCAGCGGAGTGCGGCTGTGCTATGCAAGGTATGTTTCAGCTTCCAGAAAGCTAAACATGGGTCCTTAGAAATCCTGCTCCATGAAGAGCTCTCAGCACTGATTGCCTGACATGACCCTAACCTTCCCCCACGCACAGCATGTTCAAGGCTGAATCTTCAGATTCTGAAGCACTCACATCCATCAAATGAGGAAAAGGCCAAGGGCATCACTTGGTGGCAAACATCAAATGGCACTCTTCTGGAGTTTTGTTCAGTTGTCTTAGGTAGAGACAATATGCTTTTGATAAAGTATGAAGAATCTTATGAAGCCAACTTTGATCTCTGGCAAAGAGAAGAGCAACTGCGTGACAGGACTTTCTCCTATTAAAGGAAAAGTCATGTAACCAGCTCACGCGTAAGAGCCGTACTGGGGTCAACATGGTGAAGGAATGACAGATGCGCTGGCCATGGAGCTCAGTTGATAGAGCACTTGCCCTGTGTTCTATCCTCAGCACCCCATAAAACAAGGAACAGTGGCTCAGAGTTGTAATCCCAGCAGGGAGAGGCAGGACGGCCAGAAGTTCAAGGTCATCCTATGACTATATAGGGCTTGGATTCAGCATAAGATCCTTTCGTTCGATTGATAGATAGATAGATAAATAGATAGATAGATAAATAGGCAAGCAAGAAAGTATAGCCTTAATAGAGCCCTCTTCCCTTTTCCAAGTCAAGATGGCGGTGGACCTACTTTTCATACAGCCTCTGTCCTCGCATGAAGGCCTTCACCTCGTTGTCCAGTGGGAAGGTGCCGTCGTCCTTTCTAAAGCGGTAGAAGAGTTTGACGTCCTTGAATTCCTTGTGCTCGTCACACACTGAAACACAATACACCGAGAGGAAAATGAAAACCTCCCAAGAGACGGCAGATTCAAACCCATCTCGCTGCTTCATGCTTCCTCCCACAAACATCTACTGCACGGGACCGGCCTTTGCACAGTGCCCTCGGGAAATGCTGTTAGCATCACCGCCACTGTCATCGTCACGGATTGAAAGGCTCACAAAGTTCACCCCATCATTTACCCCAGGGACTTCATAAGCATGGCACGAGCCTCAAAGAACATGAATCAAAGCTAGGCCAGGTGGTATACACCTGCAACCCATGCGCTCGGGAGGCTGAGACAGAGAATCACTAGTTCGAGGCCATCTGGGACTACAGGGCATATGACCCTTTTGGTCAGAAAACCAAATGGAAATAAATGGGAATGTCAGCATCTAACTAAAACAATGCTGGGGGTTTGTAGAGGTTAGGGGAAACGGCACTGGGAGTGTGATGGAAGAGTCCTCAGGACCCCAGCTTGGGGAAATGGAAGCCTCCCTGAATTATTTGCAAGTAGAAACCTAATGGTGAGCGAACAAAAATAAGGAGAATTCTTGTGTCAGCTTAGAGGAACACCAGTGTGCAAGTGTCTAGAGCCAGGCTGAGACTGTAAGGAATACTGATAAAACACCATGACCAACAGAAACTTGGGGAGGAAAGGGCTTATGACGTCTTCCACTTCAGGATACAGTCCCTCACTGAGTCAAGTCCGGACAGGAACTGAGGCGGAAGTCTTTGAAGAACACTGCTTTCTGGGTTGCCCTTCATGGCCTGCTCAGCCTACCTTCCGATACCACCTAAGACCTCCAGCCAGGGGTAGCACTGCCCACAGCGAGCTGGGCCCACCCACATCAAGTGTCAATTAAAAAAAGTGTCATCTGTCTCACCATAGGCAAACCCTCTACAACTGTAAGCAAGCCCCAATTAAATTCTTTCCTTTGGGGCTGGAGAGATGGCTCAGCGGTTAAGAGCACTGACTGCTCTTCCAGAGGTCCTAAGTTCAATTCCCAGCAACCATATGGTGGCTCACAACCATCTGAAATACATGCAGGTAGAACACTGTATACATAATAAATAAATCTTAAAAAAAAATTCTTTCCTTTGTAAATGTTGCCTTGGTCGCGGTGCCTCTTCACAGCAGGAGAATAGCAGTGAAGACAGAATAACAGGCAAAATTTATAAACAACCTAAACGCCCCTTAACTGAACAGATAAACCTACAACGGCCTAGTCATGGCGCGCTATGCATACAACAGTGTACACAGCACATGTCACAACAGCAAATGAACGGCCAGAGATGCGGGTCCTGAGATAAGGGTAGAGATCTTGAGGGAGTTGGAAAATAGAGAGGATCGCCAATACATGTGACAGGAAGGCAGATGGGGCACTAACTCAGAGAAGGAGAAGAATCAGGCAGAGTGAGGACAAGTATGAACGGGGAAGAATGCATGCAGGTTGACAGAATGTAATGACACACATTTATGTAGATAACAGGTGGGAACCTCTTTGTCTGCTAACCTAAAAAAAAACAATCGTTTCAGGGAAATAGACTATCAACACTGGTGAATTTGACACAGAGGATGCATCCTTATGAAGGGTCAAATATGGCAAGCTGTCTTGGAAAGCACATGAAAATAATCTAAGTACCTCTCAGAGGAAGGACGCCTTGGGACAAGGTACTAAAGAGATAATTTAAAATAAAATGCAATTTATTTACTAATTAGCATTTGATTTTGTGGACAGAGGGTCTCACACGGTCCAGGCTGGCCTCAAACTTATTACTTAGCCAGCACGTGCTATCACTCCTGCCTCTCACTTTGTAATGGGTGCATCCATGCATTCGGTGTGGTCTCTAATTGCCTCTCCAGACATCTTGCCGGTGCCGCCTAACTCACCGTGATGAATGATGCCCCGGTCGGCTAATTTCTGCATGAGTTTTATTGCCGTCTCTCGGTCAGAGGCTTCCTTGTGTTCAATCAACCAGTCAATCAGTTCTTTGGCAACAAAGCAGTTTGGGTAGGTCTTGAGATGATGCCGTCTATCTTTAATGACCTTTTCTTCATGGAGCCTCAGCCTACAATGATGAACAAGAACTTGAGGAATGCTGATGGCAACAGGAACCACCAGACCAATCCTGGGGAGAAGTAACTGAACACGTTGGAGACTTCCGTTCAGTCAGAACCCTCTTTATCGTAGATCACTCAGGGTCTCCGTATTTGCATGGACACATTTAAATGACACATGTGCATTCATTCACTCACTTGTATGACAGACTCCTGCATGCCCATGACCTACCTGTTAGGGACTTCTAGGCAAGAGAGGCATGTATCAGAAAATATGGACAAACAAGATTACCTTTGGGGGCATTTGTTTTCTCCAGTAGGGATGGTAGCTATGTTTTTGTTTGTTGGTTTTTTTTTGAGACAGGGTCTCATGGGGCCTGGACTGTGGTGACAAACTTGATTTGCCACCAAGGATGACCTTAGATTACTGATCTCCATGGCCCTACCTCAGACTTCCGGCATGTACTACCACACCTAATTCACTAGAGCTAATCTTGGTGTGAGGTTTACAGCTCACACAGTGCTCACAACAATTACCCTCATTCTTGTGCAGCAGAGACCGAGGTCTGTTGTAGAATATTATGTTAACGCGCAGAGAAGTGTTATATTTGTTTATGCTGCAGAATATTACTTTAACTGTGTAAAGGTGCGTTCCTTCTGTTTATCCTGCCTTTGTTTAATTATGTAAAGATACGCTGCATTTGCTTCACCTTGGTCTAAGAAAGAGCTGAGAGACTAATAGCTGGGCAGAGCAAAGGCTCGGTGGGGTTGGCCTGGAGAGAGAATAAATAGGAAGAAAAATCTAGTCTTGAAAAAAGAATAGGAGGAACAAGAGAAGAAAGAGGAGAGAACGGGGTGGGGAGGGGGCGGGGGTAGGGGTGGGGGAGGTAGGGGGTGTGATACCTGTGGCCGGAAGCCACCCAGCAGACACAGAGAAGCAAGGGAAGTAAGATAAACAGTAAGAAAGGAAATAAGCCCAGAGGCAAAGGTAGATAAAGAGAAACAGATTAAATTAAGTTAAAAAGAGCTAGCCAGAAATGTGCCTAAGCTAGGCCGAGCATTCACAACTAATAGTAAGTCTCTGTGTCATGATTTAGGAGCTGGTTGGTTGCTTAAAAGAAAAAGCCTGATACAGAGGACCTGCGATTAAATGACGTGTCTAAACCCACACGGCTAACAAGCCTGGAAAATGAGATCTGAGGCCTGCTGTTGTCCCTGAGTTCATCAGGCTGCCTCCAGCCAGAGATGGATAAATGAAAAGTCAAGGAGAAATCGATTAAAGCTGTTGGGTTAAAAAAAAATACAACTTACTTCCAGGCTAGTAAATTAGTGGAGAAGAAAGGGGAGCTTCTCCTCCCCTTCGGTGACTTCACAAAGGAATTATGAACCTGCCTTTTCTTTAAGTTTTCTGCCGTTTACCTTTTTTTAAAAAAATCATTCTTGCATCTCCTTTTTAGTTCTCAAATGAAGGATTTGAATCGGTGACTCCCAAGGCCACCTTGTACAATGCACTCACCTGATTTCTATGTTCCATAGTGCATATTCTGAACAGTCCTGGTAAAGGGAATGCCTCATGAAGGATAGTAGGACTGTGGCAAGTGATCTAAGCGCCCCTCCCCCAAATCAGGAAAGTGAAGGGTTTGGAGAGACTTTCCATACTTGGCCATATTGATTTTGAGGGTGGGTATGTCAAGCAGAAACCCAGCAGTGTGGATCCTTCTCAGGGACAGTTCTAATGAAAGAGACGGAAGGGCGGAGGGTGCGGTGTTCAGTGGAAAAGTACGTGCCTAGTGTGTAGATGAGGGAGAAATTCAGGAGGGAGTGGAGAGAGAGAGAGAGAGAGAGAGAGAGAGAGAGAGAGAGAGAGAGAGAGAGAGAGAGAGAGAGAGAGAGAGAGAGAGAGAGAGAGAGAGGGAGAGAGAGAGGGAGAGGGAGAGGGAGAGGGAGAGGGAGAGGGAGAGAGAGAGAGAGGGAGAGGGAGAGGGAGAGAGAGGGAGAGGAGAGACAGAGAGACAGAGAGGGACACACACAGAGACAGAAAGTGACAGAGAGAGAGACAGACACACATACACACACACACACAGAGGCACACACACAGACATCCTATTCTTGTCTAGTTTTTTTTGGTTTGTTTGTTTGTTTTGTGGGTGTTTAAAAAATTTTTTGATACAAGGTTCTCATGTACTCCAGACTACTCTCCTAATCCATAAGTAACTGAGGATGACCTTGAACTTCTGAAACTATGGCCTCCACCTCCCAAGTGCTAAGAGTACAGGCATGTACTACCATGCCCAATTATTTTTTGTATGCCAGGCAAGCATTGGACTAATAGACCTACATCCCCAGTCTTCGGGAGGGAGGGGGTAGAGTCTCTTAAACCCCACACTGGCCTCAAGCATGCTATGTAACTAAGGATGGCCTTGAGCTCATGATCCTCCTGCCTCTACTCTCTAAGTGTTAGGGTTACAGAATGCAACACCATGCCCACTTTATTATTTTTTCTTTTTCTTTTATTTAACTTTTTGCACATGTCACTCTCAGTTCCCTCTCCCTCCCCTCCTCCCCGGACCCACCAATCCTCCCAACCCCCCACTCCACTCCATCCCTCCTCCGATCCCCAGGGAGGGTAAGGGCTTCCATGAGGGATTTTCAGAGTCTGTCATATCATCCCGGGAAGGACCTACGTCTTCCCCCAAGTGTCCAGGCTGAGAGAGCATTCCTACATGTGGAATGGGCTCCCAGAGTCCATTTGTATGCCAGGAATAAATACTGATCTACTCTCCAAGGTCCCATAGATTGCCGAGGCCTCTTCTCTGACACCCAGGTTGAGGGGGATATGCCCACTTTAAATGGGTTTTCCTATCTCAAAAGTTGTCTCAAGTGGGGAGTATGCTCAACCAAAATCTCTGAGGCTTAAGTGTTCTATGCTATCCAACTGCCGAAGAACAAATTGTGTTCTCCTCAACTGACTTTTCAACTCTAAGTAGTCCGTGACGCTATAAAAAGGGTTAGGGTTTCTAAGATGGGATTAAGAACAGCAGGAGGAGGTCAGAGGCAGAACACTTAGCTAGTACATGCAAGGGTCTGGAGAGCAGACCTAACCCACAATGACTGACAATTAGGACATAGGCATGTGAAGATACAGGGAGAATGTCACCATCAGTGCACCAAGGAGGCCTCAGAGAAGGACGATGCACCTTGATCTTAGATTTCCAGGCTCCGAGACTGAGATACAATTTTAAGTCATATAGTCCTCTTTGCTATAAGGCTCAGCAAACTAACGTAGCCACTGAAGGCTGATGACTTCAAGACCACGGAGTGGCCTGAGAAGGAAAGACCAAAGGACTCAGGCTGTGCAGGGCCTACAAAATAGAGATGGAGAAGTAAGGACAGTCGCCAGAGATGGGGACCACTTAGAAAGAGACAAGGAGCTCAAGTGAGTTTCTAATCCATGCCTAATGTTGTACTAACCATCTTCACACATTGTTAAATGGCCCAGTCTAAAAGCCATTCAGCTATTTGGAGTCTCATTTTCCTCACTTGTAAAAGAAGGGTTTTGAACAAGTGAGTGACCACGCGCTCTCTGTATGGTGGATGTCGGAATTCCTGCTTAATCTAACTTCACCCACCCCCTTTCTGCTAGTTGTGCTCTGACTTCCCTTGGGAAAACCATCCATTATCCACTATTAATTCAAGCAGCTCACATGTATTTGGGCTTAGCCCCAGCACGTGACCCAGCCTTAGCCAATGATAGCATGCTATTTATTCCTAGGGCTCCATGTTTGGTTCGTGAATGAGCATGTCATTTAGACAAGGCTTCCTAAGTCCTGGCTGTCACTAGACTTTATATTAGATGTCTCAGATGAGTATGGTGATGCCTACGATCCCCAGCAGCAGAGTGCTGTTGCAATCGTGGGCTATATCAAAAGATCCTGTCTCAAACAAACCAAACACATGCTTGAAGTTACAGCTACTGGCCATTCTTGCCATGATGAAGACATGCCTGCCCAAGAAAACCTTCAACACAGAATAGAGCAGTCATAATATAATAACAGATACAAACAGATCAAAAGAAAGGTTTGCCAGGCATGACAGAATATGCCTGGAATTTGAACACTCTGGGCAGGAGGCAGGAGGATTGCCAGTTTCAGATCAGCCTAGCTTACAAAGAGAACTTAGCTCTAAAACACAAAACAATAGTAAAGGGAGATCTTTCTAATAGCCCCACCTGAGCACCAACAGTCCACGAAGCCAGTGAACTCGTATTTAAGAACATGAACCGTTATGTCCCCTATCTGTTGATGAGGTTAACTAGGTGTTTATTCTACTACCAAAATGGTCCTAAATCTCTGGCTGGGTGATTTAATGGCTCCATGACACACTGAATAATGCCATTTTTGTGCCTACTGAGAGTCCATCAGTAACCAGAGCTAAGTAACCTGAACATAGTTATCCCCGGATTCCTTGAGTAGGTGTCTGTTTCCCATTTTCCTATCTCCCTACTCTACTCTGCCGCTGCTATTACTGTGGTCAGTATTTCACTGGATTTTTGAGATGGGGTCTTACCATGTAGCCTGGTTGACATGTGATCCACTCATTGCTTTTGTTCTTGAACTCAAATAGTCCCTTACTTCTGCTGCTTCTGTGCAGCCATGGTCTCCTGATCTAGCTTGTATAAAACACTAATGAAGAATTCACGGGCTGCAAAGATGGCTCGGTGGTGAATTGTATGTCCTGCCTTTGCAGAGGACCCAGGTTTGGTGGTTCCACATATAATTATAAATAAGATGAATCTTTGAAAAACAATGAATTCAGAAGTTTTGGCAGAAGCCCAATATGAACGTCTATGAATAAGGAAAATGAGCAGGGTATGGAATTTTCGACATCTATTTTCATTACTCAAAGACTGTTTTGTGGGCAGATAAATAACTGACGGCAAATGCTGATACTTAAGTAGAACATTCAGCCACTCCGAGTTACCTAAAACCCAAGAGTCAAAATGTGCCATGGG